CGTACCAAACATATAGAGGTTGATATACATTTCATTCGAGAGAAGGTTCGGATTGGTGTTGTGAGACCATCCTTTGTCTCTTCTTCTGAGCAGTTAGCAGATATGGTCACCAAGTCTATAGGCCCAACATTACTCCAATTGTCTATCGACAAGCTGTGTTTATTGAATATCTTCACACCAGCTTAAGGGAGAGTGTTAGAATTAGGAAATAGTGATATTATAATTATGGTAGTGTTGAAATTAGGAAATAGTGATATTGTAATTATGGTAGTGTGTATAAAATATGTGATTATGTCAAGCATAGATTTAACGCATTTTTTTTTTATATATCTTCATTTCCTATTTTGTTTGTTTCCTATTTTGTAATATTGTTTTATTATAAATAAAAGGCTCTACCTCATTCATAGGTAAGCCAAAACAATTCTTTTCATCTTTTTTTGTTAAGGTTCCATATGGTAGAAGAAGTTGTCTAGAGTTTATGGATGGGATAGATGAGTTTCGGCTTAATTTTCTCAGGTTGTAGGATTTTTAGGAAAAGTGGTGCTAGAAGCTTTGGACAATAGCGATTTATGAGGTTTTGGTGTTAATTCAAAGGCCAAAGGGTAGGGCTAAGGATTATGGTTTGATTGGACGGAGCTTTAGGGTTGAAAAAAGGCACTTTTTGAGGGGTTGAACAATAGCTCGAGAATAATAGTTGTGAGAAGAAAAAGACGAAGAGGGAATGAAACACTATGGATCCCTTCTTGAACTCAAATCACCGCCTAAGGTAAGGTTATACAAAGCATGACATGAAGCCACAAAAGCTTCACACCATTCTCAAAAACTAGATCACATAGAATAGTAAGAACTACATAGTTATAAGTGGGATGGCAAGAGCTATTTGCCCATAGTCTTGTGACTCAAGTTTGAGTTAGTAGAATTGACTTTTCATAAAAGAGTAGTGGAAAGATTGCCTACCTACCACCTCCCTCAAATCCTATTGGAAGGACAAGCCTTGCGTACTCAATACAACCCTTATAGGTTTCTGGACTTCTATTTTTAGAAGGACTATGGCTCCAAACTTAAAAAAAATATTAATTCTAACTAGGAAATTTTGACTACAATAAATATTCTAGACTTAATAAAGACTCCAAATAAGATCCAATAATATAATTTGACCACAAGCTAAGAAGCGCAAACACTTCTGCAGTGAAAGTGTGCCATATCCGACACCAACACTCTTTGGTCACTCCTAAAAGCATGTCTGACAATTCTTCAACATGACTTATTTACAAAATCAAATTCATAATATCGAACACCTTTTTTGACACTTCGCGGATACTTTAGAAACACTTTTTGAACAATCCGAACATGTTTTATGTGTTGTTTCCCCTTATAATGACAACGCTTTACATCCTTTAGAGCACAACTTGTACTCTAACTATAATTTTAAACTTTTATAACATGAATATATCATGTGTATTCTAAGGTTCTATAGCCATGTTTGTTTGGCAGATTAGGTTGGATGTGATTGTTAGTGAGAGGATGGTTAGTGAAGAGATTGTTAATGTGGGGATTGTTAGTGAGAGGATTAAGCAAAAGTGTGTTTGTTTTGATGTTAGTGATGGGATTGTTAAATTATTTTTATATAAAATAAATAAAAAAATCATTTCTATAATTTAAAAAAAAAACTAAAACAAATATTAAAACAAACAAGTGCACTTGGTAAAAAAAATAAAATTTTTATATAAAATAGACTCAATCCGCTCTCTATTTTTCTAATCCCATCCAAAACCCAGCCAAGCTAATCCCCTTACTAAGGGGGATTACTAAGCCCCTCACACTATCAATCCCCCCTTTCCCAAATCATCACCAAACACACTATGGGTGGGACTCATAGTCATAGCAATCCAATCTAGCCACCCGCGTCGGTAAAAAAAACATGACCTATAGTTTTTTTGAATTCTTTAGAATGTAATTGTTATGTGAATTATATATTGACGTTTGAGTTATGAAATATATACTTTTTTAATGTAATTAGTTTGTATTACATACTTTTCATTATCAATGAATAAATTATTCATATGTATGACATAATAATTTTGTAAAAATAAAAAATTTTAATGTCTAACAACTATAGAAGAATTAAGCTAATGCGTCACATAATGAAAGTGTGGAAGAGGGTGATGGAACATCAATTGCGAGATACAACAGAGGTGTCAGAGAATCAATTTGGGTTTATGCTTGGTAGGCCAACAATAGAAGCGATCTATCTTTTGAGGAGAGTAATAGAAAAGTATAGAGAAAAGAAAAGAGACATTCATATGGTGTTTATTGATCTTGAGAAAACATATGATAAAGTGCCTCGAGATGATCTGGCAGCTGTTAGAGAAGAAATGGGTGACAAAATGTTACATTAATATGATTAAGGACATGCATGAAGGGGTAGTGACCACTATTAAATCGCCTACTAGAGTGACAAATGAATTTTCAATTACTGTAGGGTTACACCAAGGATCTACTTTAAGTCCTTATCTTTTTGCTTTAGTTATAAATGAGTTGACGAGAAATATTTAGGATGAGGTGCCGTGGTGTATGCATTTTGCAAATGATATCGTATTAGTGGATGAGAATAGAGAAGGAGTTAACACAAAGTTAGAGATTTGGAGAAAAGTACTTGAATCTAAAGGATTTTGGATAAACAGAACTAAGACATAATACATGGAGTGTAAATTTAGTAACAGTAATAATGAAAGTAGAAGAGAAGTGAAGATTGAGAATCAAGAACTACCTAAGAGTAAACATTTTCATTATTTAGGACTAATTATCACAACGGCAGGGGAGATTGATACGGATGTGATCCATAGAATTAAAGCAGGATGGCTTACGTAGAGAAGTGCGTATGGGATACTATGCGATAAACGAGTACCTACTAAAATAAAAGGAAAGTTCTATAGAATAGCTATTAGACCAGCGATGTTGTATGAGAAGGAGTGTTGGGCAATCAAGAAACAACATGTAGATAAGATGAGTGTTGCTAAGATAAGGATGCTTAGGTGGATGTGTGGCAAGACTAAAAAAAACAGAATTAGGAATGAGTATATTCAGGAATGGGTAGAAGTAGCACCAATAGAAGTTAAGTTGAGAGAGAATAGATTAAGATGGTTTGGCCATATTCAACGGAGACTAATAGTAGCAGTAGTGAAGAGATGCGATGCAATGACGATAGATGGAAGTGTTACGGGACGGGGTAGACCTAGATTGACGTTGGCTAGCATAGTAAATAGAAATATGAATTTACTTAACTTGACTAACGAAATGGCCTTTGATAAAGTCGCGTGGAAAAGAAGGATTCATGTAGCCGACCCCATTTGATGGGACTTAAGGCTTGGCTTGGTTTGGTTTAAAAAAATTTAATGTCTCAACATGTCATGTTATGCATTTTTTAAAAATCGACATGTCAGTACGTTCGTGTCGTGTCGTGTCGTGTGTCCATGTCTATACTACTTAGCCCACAAAATGACCTATGGGTGACTTAACTCGTATTCAAAATTTTACAAAATTAATAAAGTACTCTTGTACCTAAAATTGAATAGAAAGCCATAATATATGCCTGACAAAGTTCTAACCTATAAAATGCATTAAATAAAGGGAAAATTCTACTTATGCAACACTTTTAGCTCATTACACCCCTCATTTTATTATTTTTTTGTTACATTTTATCCCTTTTTAAAATTGTTATTAAGGACTAAAAGCCCCAAACCTTCCTGCTCACATTTCTCTTTACACCCTTTCATTTTTCTTTCCATCACCCACCACCACCACCACCGTTCTCATCCACCAACCACCGGCACACCTAGCCACTATCCCTTCTGTCCACCAACCACCGCTAACTCTCTCTATCCATCTACAAACTCAAATACATCTATCGTAAAGAATATCATACACACACATATAAACCACAACAAACAACAACAACAAAAAAAAGCAATAAAATTTATATTTAAAATGTATATATAATCATTATAATTAATAATACACAAGATTTTTTGTGTTTAAAAGATGTTTGGGTATGATTTTCAATAATTTCGATATAGTTACTCTTTCAAGCTCTGGCTCACTTAACAAATTGAGATTGATCGGCCTTCGTTAGCTGAACAATTTAAGTTTGTTGAGATTTCTACGGCCGAACATGGATAATTAATCAATATTTGTCCTGTTCGGTGGGACACAAACACAACTGAACAAACTTGATTTGTTAGGCCATTTTCTTAGGCCATCGAACAAAAGATGAACGCTGAAAAAAAAATGTCTAAAAAATGTCACTTTTATTCCGATGGACAGGTTAGAAAGGTGTTGCGGTGGTTGGAGAGTGTGTAGGGGGCCGTGGAGAGGGTAGGGAAGTGGTTAGGGTGGTGGTTGGAGATGATGTTGGATGTGGGTTAAGGTTGGGAAAATTAGGAGTGTAAAGAGAAGAGAAAGTTTAGGGATGAGGTTATTTTTGGAATTATAAAGGGTATAAAGAGATGAAGTAAAAATTTCAAATTTTTTGAATGAGTGTAAAAAGAAAAATGATGTAAGGCGGTACTTATGTTGTTATAATATAATTTCCCTAAATAAAGGTTCAAATTGACCCTATGCTAGAAGTAAAATTCAAGATTTTCCCTTTTCTTATTTTGATACTTTGTGTCCATTGTGTACTAATATATTATTACCTTTGGTAATAAGCGGAAAAATTGATTTGTTCTCTACATTTCATTTTTAGTTCTAGAGATTGAAAACATTTGCACAACAACTTTGTTTTTTAGCCTGGTCTTTTTACTAAATGCTTGTCCGTGCTGTGCATGTCACAAAATGATGTGGTTAGCACACTCTTTTGAAGAATATGAATTTGCTTGTATGAAAACATAGCCTTTTAATTTAGTCGTTTATATTCTGTTTTACAGTTGCATACTTATTTTAGAGTGCAAGGTTTCTCTGTTTGCCATCTCTTGTTTCTAATGTTGTGTTAATTCTTTTAGATGCCTAGTGATGAAGCTATTGAGACTGCAAAACAGTTGGCACTCCAAGAGGGCTTGTTGGTTAGTGATGCTTTTTAATGTCCTCCCCCCTCCCTTTTATAACTGAGAGCAGAAGAAGTTGGATCACAGGTGTTTTTTTTTTTTTTTAAAAAAAAAAATCATATATATATATTTAATAAAGAAAATCCATCTATGTAATTGTTTGGAAAATAACAACATTAGTTGCATGTTTATGATAAAAATTGTTAAATTTACTCACATCACAACTGAAGACAGTTGGAAGCCTAGAAATAGGTTGCGTTTAGATTGTTGAAAATCAAATTAGATATTTCCAATGAAGTAACTGTCAATTTTGAGAAGAGAAAAGTTAAGGTATGAGTGGTCTCTCATCCTCTTTTTTATTACATCATAAACACAATTATAGGAGTGAGTTAAGGCCTAAATAAAGGGCCCATTACATCAAATAAAGATACTCAATAAAAATAAAATAGGAAGTATCCTAACACATTCTAACACCCCCCTTCAAGTTGGTGCAGATATATCTCTCATGCCAGCTTGTTGAGAATGTCACAGAATGGTTTATTTCCTAATCCTTTGGTGAGAACATCAGCCAGTTGATCCCTAGACCGCACGAATGGCGTACATATAGTACCACTAGTAAGCTTTTCCTTGATAAAATGTCGATCGATCTCCGCATGCTTGGTCTTATCATGATGAGCTGGATTGTGAGCTATATTGATGGCGGCCTTATTGTCACAATATAGCCTCATAGAATATGTCTGATGAATCTCCAAATCCCTCAAGAATAATCTAATCCATAATAGCTCACACACACCTTGAGCCATAGCTCTGAATTCGGCCTCTACACTAGACCTCGCAACTACATTCTGTTTCTTGCTTCTCCAAGTAACTAGATTTCCTTAAACAAAGGTATAATAACCAGAGGTGGATCTTCAATTAGTTACTGATCCAACCCAATTAGCATCTATATATGCCTCCACACTAAGATGACCATGCTTTGAGAAATAGAAATCCTTTCTCAGAGAAGATTTTAAGTACCTCAGAATCCGCATAACCACCTCTAAGTGAGTTGCACGTGGAGCATGCATAAACTGACTAACCATACTCACTGTAATAGCAATATCAGGACGCGAATGGGATAAGTAAATTAACTTATCCACTAGTCTCTGGTATCTCCCCATGTCTATAGGCTCGCCTCCTTGATCCTCACTAAGCTTCAGTCCAGGCTCTAGTGGTGTATCACAGGCTTTACTTTCAAGCATTGTAGTCTTTTTTAGAAAATCAAGCACATATTTTCGTTGACATATGAAGATTCCATATTTGGATCGAGCAACCTCAATGCCTAGAAAGTACTTCAAGCTGCCTAAGTCTTTGATTTCAAACTCATTAGCCAAATACTCCTTTAACGGAGGAACCTCCTCAACATCATCCCCTGTGAGTACAATATCCTCTACATGGACAATAAGAGCTGTCATCTTACCTTGTGAGGAGTGTTTCACAAACAAAGTATGATTAGCTTGATTCTGTTTGAAACCATATCTCAGCATGCCCTAAGTAAATCTCACAAACCAAGCCCTAAGAGACTGCTTAAGGCCATAAAGTGACTTGCGTAATCGGCATACCTTTCCTTTGGTTTAACATCCTCAAAGCCTGGGAAAATGTTCATGTACACTTATTCTTTCAAATCTCCATGGAGGAAAACATTCTTTACATCAAATTGATGAAGCAGCCAGTCGAGATTAGAGACAAGGGAGAGAAAGACTCTAACAAAGTTCATCTTAGCAACAGGCGCAAATGTCTCATGGTAGTCGACTTCATAAGTCTGAGTAAAGCCCTTGGCCACCAATCTTGCCTTGTAACGTTCAATTGAACCATCGGTTTTGTGCTTCACGGTGTACACCCACTTACATTCAATAGGTCGTTTGTCTTTAGGTACCGCAGCTTCCCAAGTGCCATTTTTAACAAGAGCTCTTATCTCCTCCATCATGGCATGCTTCCACTCAAGAGTAGAAAGAGCATCCTGAAAATTAGAAAGAAGACTCACAGAAGAAACTTTAGACAAAAAAGCTTTATAGGAAGAAGATAGATTAGTGTAGGAGACAAAATGAGGAATAGGATGTTGAGTACAAGACCTAACCCCCTTCCTTTAGCAATGGGAACATCTAGATCAGAAAAATCAAAAAGAATTGAGTTACCTGGATGTTCATGAGAAGAAGAGGACTCTGAACACTCATCGGAAGGAGAAGATAGTAGTGGAGAATCCAAATTGGTCTCTTGTATCCAAGTAACTTTCTGTCTATCCTTGTCCCTGACATACACTTTGTCGTCTTTCACTGCGGATTAAGAGTCAACATTCTCAATAGTTGGGTCACCAGTAATAATAGTCTCAACATTTTCAACATTCTCAATAGTTAATGGTAGTGATACAGGAGTCTCTTCACACCAAGGCTCCCCCTGAAGAGATGATTGAGACATAGGGAATGACAGGAAGTAGGATTGAGATTCAAAGAAAGACACATCCATAGAGACAAACCATTTTCGAGAGGGTGGATGATAACACTTGTAGCCCTTTTGAGTGGCGGAGTAACCCAGGAAAACACACGGAAGAGACCGAGGATCCAACTTACCACGACTAGGGGAATGGTTATGAACAAAGAGCACACACCCAAAGGTTTTGGGAGGAATGGAGAAAACAGAAGTTTGGGACCCAAACAAAACCTGAAGAGGAGTTTGTTTGTGAAGAATCTGAGTAGGAAGACGATTGATGAGGAAGGCGGTAGTGAGAACTGCTTCCCCCCAATGTGATATAGGAACACGTATTTCAAAGGACAAACAGCGTGCAATATCAAGAAGATGTCAGTTTTTACGCTCAGCAACACTATTTTGTTAAGGGGTATTGATACAAGAAGTTTGGAGAATAATACCATAAGTGGCAAAATAGGTGGCAAGGCTAGAGTCAATGTATTCCCCCTCATTATCAGAACATAGAATTTTGACAACCGCCCCAAACTGAGTGTAAATCATTTTATGGAAATTTTGAAACACAGAAAAAAGCTCACATTTGTCCTTTATAAGATACACCCAGGTGGTCCGAGTACAATCATTAATAAAGGTGACAAACCATCTTTGACCTTTTAAAGACACAAAGCGAGAAAGACCCCATACATCAGAATGAATCAATGAAAAATGAACTAAAATTTTGTTTAGAGAATGAGCAAAAGAAGCTCTGTGTTGTTTGCCAAGTTGACATGACTCACAGTGAAATTCAGAAACATTATTTTTCAAAAAAACAGAAGGAAAAAGATGCTTAAGTAACAAAAACGATGGATGCCCAAGATGGCGGTGCCACAGCTAGATGTCTTCCTTGGTAGATGGGAACTGAATGGATAAATGAGCCAGCTTGTCTACTTGATTCAGGATATAGAGACCATTCTTATGTCTACCATTTCCAATCATCTTTCTCGTGATAAGGTCTTGAAACAGACAATGATCAAGGAAAAAGGTCAAACTAAAATTAAGTCCCAAGTAATACGATTCAAAGATAAAAGATTAATACTAAAATTGGGAACATGTAGGACAAAAAATAAAGGAAGAGAAGAGCTGGCATGAATTAAACCTTTCCTAAGCACAGAAGAAATGGTACCATCAGCAATTCTAACTTTATCTTGTCCTGAAGAAGGAGTATATGTGGAGAACAAATCAGAAGACCCAGACATGTGGTCTGAAGCACTAGAATCGATAATCCAAGGCAACGTTTGATGAGAGAGGAAAACACTTGTAGAAAAAGCTAAGTTACCTGAATGGGCAAGGTTACCTGAACATGAACTAGATGTTCGACTGTCTAGCAAGTAACGAAGAACAACTTCCAACTCAGAAGTAGAAAACCCAGAGATATCAGTAGATGAAACAACTGGAGCTGCGGGCTGTGGCTCGACTATATCAGAATAATGGGGTCGGGCATTGGGCCCTTGGCCTCTAGACTGACTGGAGCGACCCCCTCGAGAACCAGAATGGTCGCCGCAACCCCTAGATGTCCATGCAACTTCTAACAAGTCTCATGGGTGTGGCAAAGGCGATGACAAAAGTCACAGAAAAGGGTATCTTTATCCGGGGAGGACAGAAACCATGATTCCCATCTTTATAGGGTACAGAAACCAAGGCAGATTGATCAGAAGAGATAGACGGAAGCATAGCAGAACGGCAACTCTCCTCATTCTGCACATAAGCAAATGCTTCTTAGAGAGAAAAAGCGTATCCAAGCACACGACTCCGAATAGGATCAAACTCCACATTCAGACCTTCCAAAAACTTGAAGACCTGCACTTGTTCAACAAATTTTCGGTAACCAACAGAATCAGTGGGATAAACGGGCTTGTAGTCCTGAAAATGATCAAGTCTCTTCTAGCCATTGCTAAGGAAAGTAAAATACTGGAGGATAGGCATCTCACCCTAGATAGACCGATCAATAGAGTGTCGCAACTCAAAAGTCTGCGAGAAATTGCCTTTGTGGGAATGCGTAGCGGCCACAGCTTCCAAATATCCTGTGTTATGTCCATAAACAAGTATCCTTCACCAATCTCCGGAACCATTGAATGTATCAACCAGTCCATTTTAAGAGAATTAGTGATCTCCCACTGATCATAACCCGCATCTGTGATATTGGGAGCCTGAACGCGCCCATCAACATATTCCATCTTCCTTTTGCTTTTCAAAAATATAGTCAAACTCTGTGACCATGCCAGATAGTTCTGACCATTAAAGAGAGGTAGTGATTCTTTGGCCAGGGTTGAGGGAATCAGTCATAGTAATAGTCAAAAATGGACTTGCGCCCTGAGTAGCAGGCTGCGAAGTAGTAGACTTACTTGTCAATTCAGCCATGAAGACTCTACTAAGGAATCCTCACAAACAAACACTGGTCTAATTCACAAACCCGGAAGATGGGAGAACATAACAATAAGAACAAATAGAATTTAAGAGAACATTTTTTTTTTGGGGATAAAAGTTGATTACGAAGGAGGGTGAGAGACAAATTACATAACAGAGAGAGACAGATTACATGAAGAGAGAGAGAGAGAACAAGAACGAGACGAAGCTACCCAAATGACGTCACACTCGACTGGACCTCCAGGTTCCTTAGAGGCTATCGGTAGCCAGAGAAGGAAATAAAAAACTCTCTCGACTGAACCTCCAAGCCAGCCGACATGCCTGGGCTGGGAAAATAGAGGCTCCGACGAGCCTTAGGGTGCTGTCGAAGCCCAAGGAAGCTCTGACAGGGACTGGCGAAACCTTAGGGGTTAGCGACTGGGATGGAGGAACCCTAGGGGTTCTGCGACTGGGGTGGAGGTGCAGTGGTGATGTGGTGGTGAATAGGGTTCATGGTTTCTAGGATTTTAGAGTAGCTCTGATACCATGTCAATTTTGAGAAGAAAAAGGTTAAGGTATGAGTGGTCTCTCATCCTCTTTTATATTACATCATAAACATAATTATAGGAGTGAGTTAAGGCCTAAATAAAGGGTCCATTACATCAAATAAAGATACTGAATAAGAATAAAATAGGAAATATTCTGCCACATTCTAACAGTAACTTGCCGATATGGAGTGCTAGAGGGTTAGACTTGCTACGAATCTAACTTATTCCTTATTTCCATGAAGTGGCTGCTTGTAATGCTTAATCGACATTCCAATACATGTTAGTCTGCACTTTTACCAGTTGACTAATATGTACGCATACATTGGAGATGATGGGATTGCATTTATCCAGTGATGATCTGTTTGAATAAGAAAATGCTACTTACAATGGCATGTAGCATATTATTGAACTCAACTGCATGGTCCTGGATTTTGTTGCTTGTGGGCCTTAATTTTATCCTAGAAGCAAATGCATAAAAAGATGTCCACTTGGAATGGTCTTTAATATGGGAAGTAAGGTCGTAGTGTTCACTTATTTTTCATATGCAATTTCTCGAGTGCTTCAGCAACAGATGATTGTGATGTAATTAGAATTAGTATGGTTATGTTTTAGGTTGTTTAGTGGGTATTGGCCTATAAATAGGCAGTTAGGGTCTTGGTAATTCAGTTTTATGATATTTTAGATTTTATTTCTGAGCTTAGTTCTCTTTGTGTCTTCAATTGAGATTTTCTCTCTAATGAAATCCATTCTTTAATTTTGGTTTCATCATTTTGGTATCAGAGCTTAGGAAATGGATCTTGTTCTCTCAAATCTGAGTTGATTCATCATTGTTTCCCTAATTTATGTGGCCATTATCCATACTATTATTAAGTGAAAGTCTAAATTAGTTTAGTGAAACATTCTTTTCCTCATGTCACGTGTGGGTTGCTTCATCATTGTTTTCCTCATTCGTGCGGCCATTATCTATACTATTATTAAGTGAAGGCTTAAATTACTTTACTGAAATCTTCTTCTCTTCATGCCACGTCTGAGTTGATTCATCAATGTTTTTTTTTTAATTCGTGCGGCCATTACTATATTATTATTAAGTGAAAGCCTAAATTAGTTTAGTGAAATATTATTCTCTTCATCTCACATGACAACTTTATATATGTTAAAATAAAAAATTATTATACACAAGTACCTTGGTTTCATTAAAAATATATTTATCACTTAAATAACTTGAAGCCGTAGCTTGCTGAGTTGAGATTGACATTTTTCTGAAACCCTAGCTTCGTATTGGACTGTTGATCTTGGTCAACCTAGCCTTCGCATGCTATTGTTTGGAGCCATTGCATCTTGTTTGACTGGATTATGAACAGATCTCATTCTGACACTTCAATCTCGATTTGTTTATGGACTTGAGGGCCACTTTGAGAATAATGGTAAAAAGTTAATTTTTTAATTTTTTTAATAAAAAAAATTAATTTTTGGTTAAAAAATTAATTGAGGGCCACTTTTTTTTAATTTTTTTTGGTTAAAAAAAAAAAAAAAAAAATTAAAAAGTTGTACCAACCTGATTTGACTTTGAAATTGAGATTTCAGTCGTTTTGCAAGATCTGATTTTGAACAAAGATAGAGAATCGACATCGAAGGACGTGAACGAAGTGTGGAAATCGAAATTGAAATTCTGCAATTTCGAAGTTGAAATCGTCGGAACTTTGTCACATCACTGCTGGAAACCGTACGCTTGGTTTTCACGATTTTAAACCATATCAGAGTCGGTTTCGTCCAAAGGAGTTGAGATTTATTTTCGAATCTGCTGTACGCATCCAAATCTAGTTGCGATTTGCCGATTCCACATCTGGCTCTTTGCTTCGATCTGGAGTTGGAACCCTAGCTGGATGGCACGACTAGGTCTTGTGCTGTTTCGAACCCTAGGAGCAACACAGATCACAAGTAAACATCGCAACCTTTTGAAGTAATATCGCAAGTGAACATCACACCTCCTGTTGTGTACATCGAAGTGTACTCTTTGAATCTTGATTTGGAAATTTGTCTTCAATCTCTTTATCTGACTTCGAGTTGACTCCGTTCTGGTTCTCATTTTTCGATTCTGGACTCGGTTTGATAATCAGGATTGATCTGCGAACTGCTGCGTAGTTGTGATCTGTGTATGTCTCTTGATTTCGTTGCTCCTCTGTTGATTTTCGTTGCTGAAGAACTGGTTTTTTGTATTGCCTCACAATTGGTGACCTCTGTTGTATGCCTGGTTTAAACAAACTTGAACAGGATTTGAATGTTTGGAATTTGTTTGAATCCATTAGTGAGTTTGAGCTCTCTGGTTTGGTTCAAATCCATTAGTGAGTTTGAGCTCTCTGGTTTGGTTCCTGTTCTGAGCTAATACAGTGCACTATTGTACATTGTTGAGTCAATTAATGGCTAATAAAGGTACGGATTGGCGAAGGGGCCCTGGTAGAGTTTATGCTATGAATTAGGAGAAGAAATCGGGATGAATCTTCACTTGGAAGGAACAATGTTAAACCAAAACCAAAGGAATGAGATTGAAGAGTTGAGTCAATAAATTGCTATCTTGATTGGAAGAGTGCAATGGTTGGAACCTCTTTTTGAAGGTAGTTTTTGAAGGTAGTGATGGTTCCAATGGTCATCAATTTGATGATTTGTTCGGTGCTCTGAATAGGCATAAATATAAGCGGGAGAATAACATCAAGGATGATTCGTTTCCTGAGTTCCATGGGAACTATAATGCGGATGCGTTTGAGGAATGGTTGAACACAATTGAGAGCCTTTTGGAGTATCATGACGTGCTGGACGGAGGGAAGGTGAAATTGGTCTCTCAACACCTCAAGGATCATGCCTACAATTGGTGGAAACAACTACAAGTTGTTAGGCAAAGAAAAGGTTTGAAAATGAAGGAGAAGCTTGTGGAGCAATTCTAGTCTTGCCACTTGCAACTTGCAACCTTTGTTGGGTGACAAGCAACAAAGCAAGAGTGCTTCCAAATCTAGGCATCCATACCAAGGCTTCTTTGAATTTTGCCAAACCATTCTATAACCATGTCCAAGACGGTCCTTTGACTAGTGTTGAAAGGTACAATCATTTTGAGGATTGATGTCATCAAGTACTCTTTAGTGAGGAGTTTATAACACCAAGCTATGATGAGGGTGAAGTTTCCATCTTTGGTTAAGAAGATATGGAAGAAAGTTGTGACCATGAACAAGATTGTGGTCTAAGATCTCTCATCTTTGACAAAGATATTCCCATTTTTTATCAAGATGTGGAATAAGGTTACGATGACAATGTTTTCATATTTAATGAACCGACAAGCAAAGATTAGTTGTGAAAGAGTTGTCATTTGTGAATATGGAGAGGAACCGAATTGTATAGAAGTTGATGATTGTGATGGGGTTGAGTTTATGATTGTGAAGATGTTCCAAATTTTTATCATTATAATGATGATGACGATATTTTGGAAGATAGGAATGGCATTGGCGATGAAACAAGCTTCATTGAAGAGATAGTTGCAACTTGATCATCCATTGCTTGTCTAGCTTCAAATAAAGATCTGGAGGAGCATCATGTAGTTCGCTATACTTTGACTTTGTTTCCGAAGGTGAATACAAGATGAAAGAGCTGAAAGTTGAACTTCCATGGGGGTTTGGTAATATTTGCTTCCAAGAAGTGCCTCTTATACTACCTTCGACACAAGTTAGCTTAGTTTTGATTTGATACCCGGATCTGCTTTGTTTAGGAAAGCATGGTTCTAGGTGCCTTCTGAGGAGCTATTTTGATGACATCTTGTTTCCAAAAAGGCATGCCATATGGGTGGTCTACTCACACTTGAACGTGGCTTCCGTGGATGTGCATAAACGAAATATGTTAGGGTGCACTATGGAATAAAGAGCTGCAACTACATAGTCTTATTCACCCTTGCATGTCCATTATGCTTCCATTAGTCATTGTTTTGATTCATTTTGTTGATGTCCTTGTTTTGAGTCATTTTGTTGATGTCCCAACTTGAGGACAAGTTCATTTTCTTTAGAGGGGGAGTCTAATGTAATTAGAATTAGTATGATTATTATGTTTTAGGTTGCTTAGTGGGAATTAGCCTATAAATAGGTAGTTAGGGTCCCGGAAATTCAGTTTCATGATGTTTTCTCTCTAATTTTTATCCATTCTTTAATTTTGGTTTCATCAGGTTGTGTTCAACAATTTATAATTTTACCTTTGTTCTTTGGTATATGTACATATTTATTTACATAGGCAAGTATTTATGTACTTATATATCTGCCTTAAAGCATATCCATTCTATATGCTCTGTTACCAGGTCGGAATTTCTTCTGGAGCAGCAACTGCTGCTGCACTAAAGGTTGGAAAGAGACCTGAGAATGCAGGAAAGCTTATTGCGGTAGGTATATTTGTATGCTGTGCCTTTTCATTGATATCTGACATCGATTGCAATTCATTAGAGCTAAAAAGCCACATTCCAAAACTTTTAACTCTATGCTTATACCACCTCTATGACTTGGGGTTGTTCAGAAAATTTTCGTTTTGTCATTCAACATTGTCTAGGTCATCTCCTTTATTAGAAGTCAGACCGTTGGTCATCTGTCTTTCCTCACCACCTCGATCAATGTTTTTGTGGCCTTTTTGTCATTGTTGCATCGTCAACTTGATTTCAAATTACTCATCTTCGACTTTCCTTTCCATGTTAACCCTGTTTAATGCCACCTTTAAATTCTACCTTCGACTTTCCTTTCCATGTAAACCCTGTTTAATGTCACCTTTAAATTCGTAGGGGGGTCATTTATTTCATTCATTATTTTCTTGTCAAGTACATTAAAACTTGTCTCACCATCGTTTCTCTAATGTTGTGATTAATTTCCTCTTCTCATGCTGTGTCTAAACGTCGTAGTTTGACAATTTTTCTGGTTCTATAAATTTCCACTGAAAAAAAAAATCATTGTTGATGATTGACGAAATTAATGTATGCCCAACTTAATCTACAATTTGAAGTTATACATATTCGCTGGACATGTGATCTTCCACTCGAAATCATTGTATGGTAATTGGATAGTGGTTGACAGCTCGTTATCCTATGATTTAATTCTCTTATGAAAATAAGGTCATTTTAAGTTGTATGAAGGCCTATATCCCGGAAGCTTTTGTTGTTGAATTTAAGGTTCCTCAACCAAGTGAAAATATTATGTTGTGCTCATACGAACAGTTGGAAAATAAAATGGCAATACATTTTTGTTGAATTGAACTTATGAGCTGTTGAATTTAGGGTCCATGACTAGTGTACATTGTTTACTGATCCTGCCAGTAAGCATGGGTTTATGGACCAGAGAATGGCTAAAAGCTTCTTATTCTTCTTCATCTTTGGTTTGATTTTAAAAAAATAAGTAGGTTACTAGGTATAATTTTTCCAAACATGCATCATTGACCAGTGTAATCTGAACATTTTTTTGTTGTTGTTGTTGCATTTGGGTTTTGGGATATCCTAGAGGGGAAGTTCCAGATGGGTTTTATGATTAAGTTTCTTTGCAGCTTGTGATCAAAAGAATGAATAACCTATGGTCAGTCAGTAGTTTCGCCTGAATTTTGGATTGGTTGACTGATGCTTCCAGTCGAGCACTTAGTTGCAATTAACTCCTAGGGGTGACGTTTCTGTTCAAGAACCGTGATGTAGCATTTCAGAGTAAGAATTGTCTAAAACTCATTCCTGTTATCACGGTGAACTTCCAGCATAAGAATCCTTGTTCTCGTCAAGATAGTACCACTGTTCCAACTAGGGTGGGGAGCTCTCAAAAAAAATAAAAAGAAATAAAAGAAAGGTAAAAATAAAAAAGGTAGAAAACCGATATTTATCTTCATCTTTTGGTTTTCCTTTTTAGAATTAAAGGATGAAGATTTTTTTGATAGATTCTTCAATTTGGGTTTGTGAAGATTGAGAATTAAAGATATATGTTATTGGTGATGAACGAGAATTTATTATGCTTATGTTTAATAGTTCAAGTGTTAGTGTAATGTTGATATTAACATAAATATTACATTTAAGCAACACAAATATTTCTTGCAATGTATTTATATATAAAATACATGAACGCTCAAAAAATTAAAGGTGAGAGTCTGCTTTTACGCTGTGTTTGGTTGGAGGATTTGAGAAGGGAATTGGAAAGGAAAAGGGAAAAGTTAGGTGAAATGTGAGTAAAATATACCTACATTTCACTTAGTTTCATACACCTTTTCTCTTTTCCTTTTCAAATCTCTCCCCAAATCCTCCAACCAAACACAACATTACTATCTTGAATTTTTTGAGTATTGGCAACTGAAGTGAATTCCTTGAATCAGCAATAACAAACTATACTAAAATATTTGTTGTTGAACAACAGATTTTAAACATCATCTCTGCAAAGTTCTAATTAAGGATTCAACAATTGCAAACATTGTGTGTTTATATTTTCTTCTCATTTCTAAATACCAACACATTTGACATCTTTAAACTGCTTGCAGGTAGTTTTTCCAAGCTTTGGTGAACGATATCTGTCAACTGTTCTTTTCCAGTCAATACGAGAAGAATGCGAGAAAATGCAACCTGAGCCTTGAATGAGAAAGTTTAATGCATGAGAAAATGAATGTTAATTGGATATCAGATCAAACTGGACCTTTTCCTTTTCAAGTGAGCATTGGTATTTGAAATTTTCGAAAAAATTACAAATTTTTTTTAAGGTTTGAGCCTAATAACAAAATAAATATTGATTTTTTAATTTTTGTCAATTTAAACTCTAATGTTTTGATTTATTTCAATCTAAATTATTTACCTATTTTCGTTAAATAAAATTGTCAGAAAAGAAGTGTTTTCAGACATTAAACTCTATGAAAATAGGTATTTTAAACATTTTATTTACACTTACATTGACTTTAATAATTAAAATATATATTTTTCGACTATTTTACTTAATAAACAAATAATTTAAATTGAAAACAAATTAAGATTGAGATATTTATGAAATACTAGGCTGACACCCCCTGTATTTCATAAACTCTATGAAAATAGGTGTTTACAAAACCCGCTTTATGTATACAAAATATTTTTGCTAAAAAATAAAAATATTTAAGTTGTAAATAAAAAATAAAAATAAATATTTTTGTGTGATTTATAATTTCGGTAAAAGTGTCTTTACAAAAACCCGCTTTTGATTAATTAAGTTTTTAAACATAACTTAAATCAAAAATATTTTTTCAATATACATTTATTGTGTTATATTTTTATTAGTATTTTAATCAATCTTGAAATCAAAAAAATGTGCTTTGAAAATATATTTTCAAGAAAGGGTATTTTGAAACCTGCGTTGGGAATAAAGTACAAATTCACCCCTACTGTGAAAATAAAGTTTTGAGAAGATCCTAGTCAGGAGATGGCCCATCATCATGGGTCTAAGGCAACTGATTAACTTGAAAATTTAGTAAGTTGTATAAGAGCACTCCAATGGTTTGGAGGTGTGTAATAGCCAAGATTTGGTAAGAGTAAGTTTTCCAACGAGTTGGTATTGGAAGGGCTAAATTAGTTGCTGAATTTTCCACCTTGGCTTCTCAATTGTATTCCCACCCTTCCATTCACCTTTCTTGAAGAATATATATATATATATTAAAAAAAAAAAAAACACACACACACACACAAGATATGAAACTCAAATTTCACAACTTGACTAAAATTAATGATCTGCTTGTGATGAATGGTAGGCAGGGAGAGAACCAAGATTTCATTATCGGAGAGATCAAAAGAAAAATAATTTTTTTCATCATATACACAAAATACACATGTATGTATCATATAATAAATATATATAAATTATATATACATAAAAAAATTTAAATACCATAGAAGTAATTTCTAATAAGATGAAGTTTTTTTGTTGCAAAATACAAAGAAAATTTAAGATGGAAGAAGAATGATATATATATATATATATATTTCATACTGAAAGACTATTTTATATATAAAATAATGTATATATTTTTAAAATTCTATGACAAATAATAATTTTTATAGAAATAAGGGGCTATGACTGTCTTCTCCTAGTTCCGTTCATGATGATAGGACCCATTTAGTTTAAGATTGTGATGAAAGTCATAAAGCTACATGCATCTTTATATTTGATTCGATTTTGTGAAAATTCAATTTTGTGAAAGATAAGGAGATTGTTTAGTGGTGATAGACACATAGGCATAGGATGGAGATCGATTGCGGAAAGATGATAGAGAGATCAAGGGACTAGATCTATTATTGTGAGAGGGATAAAGTTGTTTCACCTAGGCCTGTTCAAAAATCTGTTCAAATCGATAATCTGAATCGAATTAGACCGAATAGTTAAAAGATATATATATATATATATATATAATATCAAATTTTATTTTTATTAATTGATTTTTTATAATTTTAATGATATTAGAATAATATAGATATGTAATTTTGAGTAATACATTAATATTATTAGTTTTTATAGTGAGTTAAATCTAATTAGTTTGAGTAATTATTTTACTAATATTAACAATTTATTCTTGTAAATAGAAATTTTTGAAACCGTGAACCAAACTGAAACCGAACCGTTTTTTTAGTTTGGTTTTGGTCCGATTATAAGTTTGGTTTTTAAAATCACAGAACCGTTAAGATCAGTTAGGTTCTTAGATTTTCTTAGAACCGAACTAATCCGGACTATGTACACCCCTTTCACCCATATATGGGGGAAAAAAAAAAAAGTATTGTGAGTGTCAGGTGAAGTTTCTTCTTCTTTTTTTTTTGAATGCGATGACGGTATCAACGAGTAAGATCAACAATGAGGGGATTAACGAGGGAAAAGGAATCAATGTGATCAACAGTAATAAAAACAAAATGGTTATGCTAATATGACATTTATCCTAATGGAATAACATTGCTCAAATATAGTAATATGTTAAAATTGTAACATGTCAAATAATAGCTTTGACATACCATTTTTGGCAATGAAGAGGGGTGGGCTTGAAAAACTCTTTTCCTTGTACATGAAATCTGAAGAATCTATCATGGCCGGAAGCAACAAAAGAAAAAGAAAACTCTTTCCCACACAACACATTTGAAAAAACAAAAAAATAAAAAACATCTTTGTCCTTTTGCACCAAGAGATAGCAAGGAACAGTTGTTCACAACCAGCATACACAATGACACAAATGTGCAAGAGGATAATCCGATTTATTCATCACAAATTCAGGTGTAGCCACTGCTCTAGAAATAATTTATAGCAATAATCGATTTAACTAATATCACATGTAAGCCAAAATTTGCAACCCATGTTCCCTTTTCTGGTTACGAATGAAATGAAATCCAACACCAGAAGGTAGAATTCATCAGTTTGCCTCATTACAAAAAAAATGTCCTACCAATTGGTACCACATTCTGTAGTTTGTCAAACCAAGTAGCATATGGTTCTTTTTTGTCTTTCAGCCTCCATTGTCACTGCAGATCAGGTCATGTCTGTATGAGTTCTATCACTTGATCACAAAAAATAGAAGTGGTAAAAAAATAAAAAGAAAATGTCTCGTAACTCAAATTTTGTGACTCAAAAGGCCAAAACGACGTCGTTTGGCCATTTTTATGTTGTTCTGTACTCAAAACGACGTCGTTCTGGCCATTTGAGCCACTTTTGAGCCACAAAATTTGAGCTACGTAACATTGTCGAAAATAAAAATAGAAAAAGATGAAAATTCTCATAATACCATGTTTTATTCGCTGATGGAGAGAGAAGCCTTCAATCTTCCAACAATATGTGGCAACGTCTTGATGCTATCTTGGACTGACTGGTCAACACATGACTCCAAACCCTTCAGGGCATCACTTCCGATCTGTTGGGTCTTGGCTGCATCAAATTTGTCTTGGCAGACCATCAGAGACCTATTCAACCTTTCCTGAATCCATCAAAAGAGATGTTCAAACAATTACTACTAGTTTACAAAAGAAAACAACTGCGAGAACACAATACACCATACAAAGTTTCGAAAATGCTTCTATAAAAAACAAAAGTTCAAGACGGGGATCAGGGTTCAACTCAAAATATAGAGTTAGATGCCCTAATAATATTGGTTGTCATCTTCATCATCAGATAGCATGCGTTGACCAGAAAACGTGTATATATGTGTATATTTCAGAAAGTTAAAAAGAATAAAAGTCGTGTGTGGTTGTTCTCTAAGATGCAAGAGCATGTAGGCAACAACAAATCTAAATTTGGTATACTGCTAAGCATAAACTTCTTAGGTGGTTACATTCGTGCACATACTAAAATCATGCTCACGAATGTGTTTGTTAGACTAACTGAATTTATACACATCATATATATATTATCTTTTTAGACAGCTAAACAAAAAGGCTGGGGTAAAACATGTTCACAGTTGATTGGATGCAATTAGGAGTAATGTTTTGTTGACCATGTACAAACACTAAGAGATATTTATCATTTTACTGTTGTGGTGATTTCTTTCTTTTTCTCTTTTTCTTTTCTTTTTTTATTGGAAAAATTATAAATAAATAAAAAAAAGTTTAATTATGTAACCTGTTTTTTTCCCCCAAAAAGTACAAAGACTTAAATAAAGAAATGCCAGAAGGGGGCACAAAGCAACTACCGCACAACAAAAACTCCTAAACGTCAGCATGATATACAACTCCGGTAAAAACACGCCACTGAAAAAATACCAACCAAAACCCCAAACAAAACCAAAGAATCCTCCACCTTCAGCTGAATAAAAAATACCAGAAAAAAGCCAAAAAAAACTCCATCTACCGTCCAACAATCCTCACAAAGGCCTCCCTGTCTGCTGCAATCCCAAAGAGATCTGGAAAAGCTTCCCTCAAGGGCCTATGCCCACACGATATATCTCGCCAAAACCTCACATACCCCCCCTTACTCACCTTGAAAGAAGTGAGGCTCTTGTATATGCCATCCCAACCCTTCAAGCTACCTTCCAAGCCCCCCCCATTCTATCACACATACATGCCAATGGAGAGAATTGGTTTTCTGTAACATGATTGTGAGCCAAAGAGTTCCTACCATGTTCCAGTTAGAGTTTTAAGATTACAATATCCCCAAGACATAAGATATTCATGTAACATGAATTTTAAACAATGGCAAAAGAGAGAAATCTTTCAAGTTCATATCATGCCTAGGGAAAGGTGGAGATAAGGGCAGACTGATGCATCATCGTCAACAGTTTTTTACTTTCACTTCTTAGTAATCCTTGCTTTTCCATTGGAATGTAAGAAAGAAAGGATCATTTTAAGAACAACATCAACTAACAAAGAATGAACAACATCAACTAACAAAGAATAGGCCTGAATGTCTAAGAATGCTTTCCACATATATGGTTATCAGTTGGTAAGGATATGGTTATCAGCTGGTAAGGTAATGACATTTGCTGACTATATGCATATAAAGATAAAGAGTTTTATTGTACAGAAATCTCTCGTTTTCCCCCCATGACATTTGCTGACTATATGCATATAAAGATAAAGAGTTTTATTGTACAGAAATCTCTCGTTTTCCCCCCAAGGAAAAAGAGTTTTATCACAGAGAAGAGAAAAGAATGAGGAAAAAGGACAAGCAATCTTTCAACCAACATACAACAGAGACAAAAAACCAAATAAAGAAAAGATTCTTGGAGGGGCTAAGACAAACCAAACGGGAAGCAGCAAAAGATTAAAAAGGAAATCCAAAAAGATTCAAGAGCACCCATCTCTTAGTCAATTGGCCAATCCCAGAATCCATGGTATATGCTATAAAAATGTGAGTGAAAGAGAGAGAGTATATTGGCACAAGGATAGGGAACTAAAGTTCATCCAGCTGACCACAAAAGTTGTCTTGTCACCCTCAAACGAAAAGACAAACCCCCAAAAATCGAGGCCTCTCAAAGGCTTTCTCGGAGAGCCTTATTGCATGAAAAGTTCCAGTTGGTTTAGTCTTTTCCATAGAAGTGTTTGTGCTTATTAAACAGTGATCAAATCATTCTTCCTTACCGTGGCATCTACTCTATAGGTCGTCACTGTACATAACTAAACTATCTTATTCTGTTCTATCTCAACTTATCTCCAATTGGTGTTATTCCTAACATTTCACAAATATATTAATTTTTAAGTCAATTATGAGATATAAGAGAGGTGTCAGATAATTAATTTGGATTTATGCTCGGTAGGTCAACAATGGAAGCGATCTATTTTTTGACGAGAGTAATAGAAAAGAATAGAGAAAAGAAAAGAAAAGAGACATTCATATGATTTTTATCGATCTTGAGAACGCATATGATAGAGTGACTCGGGATATAATCTGTTAGATGTTATAGAAGAAAATGGTAACAAAAGGCTATATTGATGTGATTAGGATCATGTATGAAAGTGTGGTGACCACTATTAGATCGCCGACTAGAGAGACAAGTGAATTTTCAATTATTGTGGAGTTACACCAAGGATCAACCTTAAGTCCTTATCTTTTTGCTTTAGTTATGGATGAGTTGACGAAAAATATTCAGGATGATGTGCCATGATATATGCTTTTTGCAGATGATATCATATTAGTGGATGAGACTAGTGAATGAATTAACACTAAGTTGGAGACTTGGGGAGAAGACTTGAATCTAAAGGATTTAGGATAAACAGAAGAACTAAGATAGAAGACATAGAGTGTAATTTTACTAATAGTAACAATGGAAACAGAGGAGAAATGAAGATTAAGAACCAAGAACTACCTAAGAGTGAACTTCTTTGTTATTTAGAATCGATTATCACAACGGCTGGGGGGATTAGAGCAGATGTGGTCCATAGAATTAAGGCGTGGAGACTTAAGTAGAGGAGTGCGTTTGGAGTACTGTATAATAAACGAGTACCCACTAAATTAAAAGGAAAGTTCTAAACAACGACTATTAGACCAGGGATGTTGTATGAGACAAAATGTTGGACAACTAAGAAACAATATGTAGATAAGATGAGTGTTGCTGAGATAAGGATGCTAAGGTGGATGTATGGCAAGGCTAGAAAAGGAAGAGTTAGGAATGAGTATATTCATGAACGGGTAGGAGTAGCGCCAATGGAAGATAAGTTGAGAGAGAATAGATTGAGATGATTTGGTCATATACAACGAAGACCAACAGAGATAGTCGTGAAGAGATGCGATACAGTGATGGTAGAGAGAAGTGTTGGGGGAAGGGGTAGACCTAGATTGACGTGGGCTGGTGTAGTAAATATAAATATGAACCTCCTTAATTTGACTAACCAAATGACTTTTGATAGAGTTGAGTGGAGAATAATGATTCATGTAGTCGACCCCATTTGATAAGATTTAAGACTTTATTTGGTTTGATTATTCAAGCTCATCTTGTCATGGCTGCCTTTTCATACACATTAGTCATCTTTTTGTTTGCCTTGGGATCACATATATTAAGAGGTCAAATTGATAAAGGCCGAAAAGCTTATTCAAAGTATGATTCACATGATTGTATTATATTTAAAATAATAAAAAATACATAAATAAAAAAACAGTAAAAGTTGGAACGCTGATGAAAAAACAGTAAAAGTTGGAGATGCTCTAATTGGATGTAAAATACATAAATGATCAATTTGGAGTGTCAGTATTCGTGCACAAAAAACTAGACATTGCAATTATCAGATATAATATCTATATATATATATAAAATAAATGACGAATTACACTAATGGTCTCTATAGTTTAGAACTTGTATCATTTTAGTTCTTAATTTTTTAATTATAACATATTTGACCCTAAATTTTAAATCTTGTTTCAAATAAAAACAATTGAAGATATCATTATTTAATTTTAAGGGTAAAATCGTCAATTTAATAAAATATAAATTAATTTAACAAAAATAAATGTCAAAAAAATATTTTTAAATTTTTAAAATTTATTTTTACCCACTAAAGATAAAATTATGTAAAATTGATAAATCTCTTAGACATTTATTTATTTATTTATTTTATCAAATTAATTTTTGTTATGTGTTTGGATGATGATCAGATAATAGATGATTGTTCTATTTTCATTAAATTAGTTTCTATTTTTCCAAATGTCAAATATGACGATAACTTTGATGTCATTATTAAACTAATCCATTAAATCAAAAAATTCAAAACTAAAAATATTTCATATATTAAATATATCGATTACACATTAAAATCGTAACAATCGCCCATTACATGATTATCATCCAAACACATAATAAAAATTAATTTGGTAAAAAAAAATAAATGTCTAAAAAATTTATTAATTTCACATAATTTTATCTTATCTTTGGTTAGTAGAAATAATTTTTAAAAATTTAAAAACATTTTTTTGGACATTTATTTTTATCAAATTAGTTTATATTGTATTAAATTGACAATTTTACCCTTCAAATTAAGTAATAGTGTTTTTAATTGTCCTTATTTGAAACAAAATTTAAAATTCAAAATCAACTGTGTCACAATTGAAAAGTCGGGACAAAGTGACATTACCCCCAAACTATAGACGGTTAATGTAATTCAACCTAAAATAAAATAAAAAAGAAGAAGCAATTTTACTTGAAATTTAGCCATCTCAGTCTCAACCAAATTCTGGGCTTTGAGAACTGGGACACTGCAATTCTCCACGCAATTGTTAATCTCATCTTGCGTTCTCCTTCTGTCAAAACACTCGTACGCGCATCTGAAATACGCTTGCTGCAATCATATATATATCATCATCAAAAGAACCCATTACGTAACAACCATTTATATATATATATATATGTATATATGCAGAGAGAGAGAGAGAGAGAGACCTGAAGAGTGAAATTGACGTGATCTTGGACACCAGAGAGTTGGGTTTCGGCGGCTGTGGTAACTTCGTTTAGTTTTCTCCTAAATCTCTCTGTTGCAATTTGCTCTTCAGCTGCTGCTATGTGATCCATCTCTCTCTCTCTCTCTCTCTCTCTAACTGTTTTTCTTTCTCTCTCTACCAAAAATGAGTTGGGGGGCTTTTGAAGGCACCTGTGTCGTTGCATGTAAGAGGGTTTAGGGTTCAAGCTACACCTGGCCATTTAAAATAGGGAAATTTCTTGTAAGGGTAATTATAAATAAATGCTAAAATTTATAAAATATTAAGAGGAAAGTATTAACAAATCATATTTTCATGAGTGATATTAAAAACTTCAAATAATTTATTAATTTTTTATCAAACCTTTTATATAGTGTGAGGCCCACATTGTATAGATTTGCGTGGTTTCATATTCATAAAAAAAATTTAATAGATTATTTAAGATTGATTATCCTATTTTCATGGGTTAGTAAACCTCCGTTTGGGAAGTGGATTGACTTTTTAGTTTTTTGGCTTTTTTTTGCTATTTGAGCCTGGGCTCAAAAGCTTGGTTTGGGAAGGGTTTTTTGACTTTTTTGACTTTTTTTGTGAGAGAAAAGTGTAATGATTATGGGTTGGATGTGATGTTTTATCTGTTGTGGCTCAAATAACCTATTCTGTCTTTTGTGGCTCATATTGTCATCTACATATTTTAATGAATGCGTGAACATGACAATATGACTATGTTTTACAAGTATAAGTCATCTACATATTTTAATGAATCCAATAGTTCCATCTGTGTGGACATGACAATATTACTCTATAGGTGAGAAATTTTATTTTACACACTTAATTGTTTTAATGCACACATATTTAAGGAAATATTATTTTAATGGCAATTATACTCTAAACTAAAATGATTATGATGGACATCCATTAGCATCCATAATATTATATGAAAATATTATCTGTATACGTCTTTTTAAATAAAAAAAAAATCTCAATATACACTGTACGGGGAGCAAATATTCCGGCACGCCCGTACTCCTTTCTTCCAAACTCCGTTTCTGTCCGATCATCTGCGAGCAAATAACGGTGAACTACCCGGCAGTGTGTGGCCGGAAAAACCCTCCGACGATCAAGTTAGCACACACCTTAGGATAGAGAGAGAGAGAGGGGGGTTAGAGTGTAGGAGTTTTCTTACAAAGTGTTCGTCTGTCGCGTATGGGGGGCGCAGACATGCTTATATACCCTCTGCGCCCCCATATCCACTCCCAGTCATCTCCTGACACGTGGCTCCACTATCCCATCTGTCAGCATAAACCTTGTTGAACATCACCTAATCTCAACTGCCTGCCTTCTCAGTTGGAGCTCGGCAGCCGAGCTTCTCTATCCACGGCCGTGCTGTGCTTCATACCCAAGCACTTCATTGGCTAAGCCCAAGGAGGACCGGGCTAGGCGGCATCTCGGCAAAGCCTAGCCCAGGGCACCTCCTGTGGTCGGCCTTCCTGCCGATCAAACGATTATCTCGGCTGACCACTCCTTTCCGGGCGCCGGTCACTCAGCTTGACAGGCTCCACCATCGCCTAATCAAGAAGCTCGGTCCAACCGAGCACTTCCTTGCCGAGAAGCTTCTTTACGGTCTGGGGCGGCGCATACTTGGCCCAACTCCTACCCGGCCCAAGTTCTGGCAGCCCATCCCCGGGCGGATCGCCGGTCATTTCGGCCCCATGCACCATTAGGCTCTCAACCTGCTCGGCCGTTACCTCGGCCCAATTCCAGATCATAAATCTCCTTCTCAATTGCCCCTTAATTCCGTCCGCGAAAGTGTGACTATAACATTTCTTTGATCTTCAAAATGCTGTAGGGCGACCGGGCTAGTTAACATTACTGGCTGCAAACTTGTCTGGTTATACTCCTCGGCTGACGTCCTCTTCTTTGAAAGTAGTCCGGTTGGCTCCTCGACTCTTCAAACTGTCTCCTCAGTTCTGACGTCGCCATAAATGGGGACACGTGGCGGGCTGCCATTGGTTCTCGAGCAGCCAACCCGCCGTTTTGCCAGAATTTGAATTTGGGCGGTCTCTCTTCCTCTATAAACATGCCCCTGCCCTCTTCCTTCCATTCTTACTGCCTCTCCTGCTTATCAAGCTTTCACAGAGCTCCTGCCCATCCTCTACCGTTCCTGAACTCGAGCTCCAAGGTGGAGAACGCACTGCCCTAACTTGGTAAGTCCTCAAACTCCCCTTTTATTGTCATTTTCTTCGATATATCACACATTAGGGTAGAGAAACGCAGCTTTTAGGATTCGGGCACCAAAAACCATCCCAAACCCTCAATTACTCATGGTGTTCTTCATTTTTCCTGAAGAACACTGAAAAACTGGGGCTGACCGGGCTCCTGGTCTTCATTTGATCCAAAAAACCAATCTGACCGAGCAAATAACATGTTTGTCTCAACCCTAGCAGAAACCGAGATAGCAAAAGGAATTGGTCGCTCGACCGGGCTAACATCTGGTCTGCTTGGGCGACCGAACTCCTTAGTTAGCTTAGACGACCGAGGTGGTTTGGCACTCTTAATGACCGAGCTAAAGTCCAGCTCCTTTCGCGCGATCGCGCTCACACTTACACTTGTCATCATTTTCCTGCAGAGTCCAAGGGGACCACTGTCCATTCTTGAGGCTCTCCAGGCCGAGCAACAACCAATTACCACAGTGCCAAACCCCTTAGCCAAGCTATCCTAGGCCGGCCACAAATGGGGAAATTTCGATTTCTCGTAGATACTCCGGCTGCACTGGCTGCATTCAGGGAGGAGTACGGCATCCTGGCTGATGTCCACCTTGAACTTGCAGAAATTGAGACAACGCCTTGGGGCAGGGATGAATGCCCCTTCACCGTGCTATCCATCGTCAAAGGGGGCCTTCGTTTCCCACTCAATCCATTGATTACCGAGTTCCTGCGCCGAACCGGGCTAGCACCCACCCAAGTGTCCACCAACACTTACCGGATAGTAAACGGCGTGCACGAGCTAAACAACCGGTTAGGCATAAGCCTAGGTTTAGCCGAGATCCTGCGCCAATACACCCTAGGCCACACCGGTGACGGCCTCGCCTATTATCTCAAGATTAGACCGGGCAGAGAGAAAATCGTGGCCGGCACACCAGACAAGGATCTTCATGACGATAATTTCTTCTGGGTGTCAGGCAATTACGAGACAGCCGAGGTACCGGGCTGGATGATAAGCAAAAACTTTGGCAGCACATGTAAGCCGCGCAAATTATCTCGGTTAATACACTTTCTTCATGTTTCTGTACTTAGTCATTTTCTTTCTTGTTTCTTTTGCAGCAATCCAAGCCTTGCAAGCCAACTATCATTTCCCCAACGTAGAGGCAATCAGGACTACGCTCCGCTACCATGACCGAGATTGCAACCAATTGCTCGGCTACAATCCCACATACAGATACTCCGCTCCCCGCCGGAGTAAAGTTACAGACTTCCTCCGTGCTCCAACACCTCCACCAGATCCAACTCTGCCAGACTTTCCACTCATTGACTTGACAGAGGAGCAAGAGATGACCAAACGAAGCAGAATCAAGAACCTGCTCACCGCCACGTCTGTCGAGATGCTGAGCGTTGTCACCCGCTCGCCAGCCGCCGGTCAATCCAGCGGCGCCGTGATTGCTCTTGCCTCTCAAGCGACCGGGCAGTCCAGCCGAGAACCTGCTCCTCGTCGTGCTGGTAAAAGAGCTTGCGCAGACCCATCTGCCGAGCTTGTCGCCGAGCTGACTACCGAGCATCCATCTGACGCTCTCGTTCCAGTGCCGGCCTGGCGTCCACAGCTGAAGCACCGGGGTCAAGACATCCCGGCCACGGCTTCTATCAAGGGCGATAAAGAGCATTTGCTCGCCTTCGATCTTACCAAAGCTCTTCTTCTACCGAGCGACGTGGTCGGCAGCGACCACGTCCCTGACACTCGGTTGATAAAATCATCCGTGAAGTCTATGGCTAGGGTAAGTCAATGTGCCTCTGAAATTTTCACAAGTGTTTGCTCGGTTCTTTCTCTAATCAACTTTACTTTTTGCAGGCCATTCAGAAACAACACCTAGTAATGGAGCGCATCCATAGACTTCGGCAAAAGGCCAATGAGACAACCAGCCAAGTCCAGAGCCTCCAAGCCGAGCTCGGCCGGGCAAAGTCTTCACTTGAGATGGCTAATGCAGACAACAACAGACTGCTCGGTCAGCTGGATGCGGCCGAGAAAAAACGGGATGAGCTCTAGACCGAGGTAAGCGCGCTCAAAAAGTCGCGAAAGAAAGACTGCCGGGCTGCTAACAATGCTGGCTTCAACGAAGCCGAGCAGAGCTATAAGAAACAAGTCTTTGCAACACAAGACATTTACTTCAAAGCTGGCTGGAAGTCCGCCTGCGAGCATCTCGGCTAGGGCTCTGACACCGACGTATTTGCCAATCCTCCTCCTGCTTCGCTACCGGTCTACCTTGTGCCTTACGCAAACGACGTCTTCAGCGCTTTGCAAGATGAGGCCGAGGAAGGGCTTGAAGAGGGAGACGCCGAGACAGATACAGAGGCAGAGGATGCCGAGGTGCAGGAGCAGCCCGGCCATGACGAGCCCGGTGCCCAAGACAAAAGTCCAACCATCAACCTTGATGCCGCCGAGGACGAGTTTACCAATCTCTCCCCCTTAGTTTAGTTTTCTTCACTTTTTTTATTTTTGCTTTCAGCGCTTCTGATGTAACCGGGCTCTGTCCCCACCTTTTGTATTGACTTTCTTATCAATGAAAAACTCAAATTTTGCCAAGTGGTTGCATGGTTGTCATCAATTCCATCTTCAGCAAAACATCTCGGTATAAATCATAGATTGAACAAAACACCTCGTCAACTGGAATTCATAACTCGGTTGAAGTACTTAAGCAGAACAAAACAGCAAATTCATAAACTGAAATAACCATCTCGGTTGGAAATAACAAAGTTGAACAAATCACCAACTCTTCCAACCGGAGTAAATCATCTCAGTTGGGAATAGCAGTTGAACAAATCACCAACTCTTCCAACCGGAGTAAATCATCTCGGTTGGGAATAGCAGTTTGAACAAATCACCAACTCTTCCAATCGGGATAAATCATCTCGGTTGGGAATCCTAAGTTGGACAAAACACCAACTCTTCCAACCGAAATAAATCATCTCGGTTGGGAATTCGAAGTT